TCTGATTTTGCAACCTCAGGAATAAAAAGTTGGATTTGGGCAAGAATTTGTTGGATTATTTCAGATTTTTAGGGGTTTTTTCTCCCCTCCTTCATTAATGTTTCAGCCTAATCAAAAAACTCAAACCTCACAATATTTTTAAAGCAATAAGCCAAATCAAATAAATGATTTGAATCTTGAAATAATGCAACACAGCCCTTCTGGTCAACACACAGAGTCTCCTTTACCTGCGGATAGACCTTTCCCTTTGTGCAAACTGTTTCTGAAAGTAATGCTGCCACCTAGCAGTCTCTTGGGGAATCACCACCCTAAGAGGTTACAGCTTGCGGTACACACGTTTGAGGTTTGTATGGGATTCCCTGCATTTAAGTTGGGTTTGAATTAAATTACCTTTGAAAAATGTCTTTTCTGCAGGTATAGGTCTTGAAATCAAGGCGTGACAAAAAATTGGCTGTTGAAAGCAGCTCGCTCAAGATGAAAATGATGGCAAAAGGCACAGGGTTTGCATTGTCCAGACTCATCCAATTGCACACATTGAATATGTGCAGTTCTTTTTATATCAATTATTCTTCAATAAGCTGTTTTAAAAGTAGTAAAATAAAAAGAAAGTGATGACAAAAAAAAAACCCATGTAAAATTTCAGTACATTTGTACGAAACACAAACCTCTACAAGTATCTTCTGAGGAGAGTAGATAAAAACAAAGTGTGGATATCAGTGTCAAAGAACAGCTCTTTAACAAGATGACTCTGGAGTCATAAACTCAAGGTATCACCTGTGTGCCCAATGGAAACCTAAGTGACATTTTAATTCACATCAGGAGCTTCACTTGCAAACTAAGCAAAGTTGCTTTTTTACATACTTTACATTTTTGTGTTTTCACAAAGGTTAAAAAAAAAAACAGCTAACATTTATTGAAGTGTTTGTTATTTGCCCAATACTGAATAAAGCATTTTCCAAGCACTGTTATGTAACCTACACAATCCCCTGAGATGGTGTTACTGATACTAGTGGCTTGGGGAAGAAGGCAAAGAACAAGGCAAAGAAATGAAGTCAGGATACAAACCCAGCCAGTCTGATTTCAGAGCCTGAGATCTCACCCCCAGGGTTGTGATACTTTTCTATTGTGCTGAAAGTTATGTGGAAGCAAACAGATGTCAGATGTCCAGCAGGTTAAAGCATGTGTTAACAGGATACAGTAAGTTTCTATTTTCTAGTTGAGTGGCATGACAGAAAACTTCTCAATTTTGTCACAATGACATTTGTCTTATGTCCTACTACAAACTACTTTGAAAGTAAAAGGATTTTATTCTTTTAATCACTGTGAAACACTGCCGTTAACCTGCTGTTCAATACCTGTTGACTACCTAGATTGTCAGATGCTTTAGTCAATTATGCCATCTCATTGTTTTAGTGGCAGTTCGCTTTCTGATATCTTGAGAGTTTCCTTCTTGTGACTGCTCTGTACTTAGATGTCAGCGATCTAGAGTGGATTTGTCCTGTCCACTTTCACCAAAATATCTAACATATCTGTGCATCATTTTCTGAGGAGATGACTTGTCTGAACACATCTCTGAAGATAATTTGAATATGATTAACATATTTATCCAGAAATAGCATCACACAGCAAACTATGTAGCTTATGTTAGACCAGGCCCATGCATTCAAACCACCTGGAAATCTTGTTAGAATGCAGGATCTGAAATTCTACATTTTAAACTAGCTTTTGGGTGAAGTTGATGATGCCAGTCCTTGGATTACAATTTAAGTACCAAGGTACTAAATTATCCAGTTATTCTTGGGTCTGGAAAGAAAATCTGATTTGATTCCAAAGTGAAACAAAAAAAATCTTCCCCATAATTTTCTCATTTTCTTTATCTGATGATAAAATCAGGTTTGTTATAAACCAAGTTACATATTCTATGTTTCTAAACAAGGGTATCTATAAAAGCCATTTTAAAAATAAATTGTTTCCATTTGAGCTTTAAATCTATTTGTTTAAATATCTTTTTTCTTGGCTTCAGAGTTTTTGAAATTTATAACCCTACCATAAGATGGTATCATGGAGTGTTGGACTTGAAACTTCTAGAATCGTCTGGCTAACGGAGAGATGCCCAACCTCCAGCCCCATCTTGGGGCTGACATGGATAAGGTTTCTTGATCCAAATAAGCTAAATCCAGAACTCTGGGCATTAAAGAAACTAAAATCAGATTTTAGAATTGTTCTGGAATTAGTTCCTTAACTTGGTGGCACTATTTTTAATAGCAGCCAATCTAAATCGAGTTTCCTAGGTTTATTCAGAGCCCTCTTTCAGGTACCTTCATCCCTACACTCTTTCAGTTCTTGTCGGCATCACTCTTGGTTTTTTGCTCTCACAAAAAATATATATAGTACTTAGAGGCAAAATTAAAATGAGTCACAAGATCATATCGCACAAGGGTAAAATGAATTAGACACTGTATGAAATTGACCATTTTCAAAAACAGGAATGTTATTACCTACCAACTCAATATAAGTGACTAGAATAATGTTATTCAGTCGAGGAATGTATTAATAGAAGAATAGTGCTACGGCAAAGGAGGTAATGGACTTCCCCTAGCTTGTATTCGCAAAGCCATACATGGGGTAGTATAATGTTCAGATGTGTGCATGTAAGTATATGCATGTCTGTAGCAGTGAGTCAGAGAGGGTGACGGGGAAGCAAAAGGGAAGGTAGTTATAATTTATAAGGAAAAATGGAAAAGATCAACAGGTTTCAAAAAGGTAAACCAAGATGGTGAGTGAACTTCAAACTTATAAATTCAAAGAAATAGGGATATTTATTTTTGAAATGAGTTTTGGAGTGGAAGTTAGTAAGATCTTATACGGATGGATGGATTGAAAAGTTAAATCCCTAAACACCTTATGTTGAGATATCTACAAGCAATGGAGCAGTTTTTTGTTTTTTGTTTTCCTGAGCAGATTAGGTAGTTAGACAGGCAGGCTATTTATTGAATACATTCTACATGCCAGTATTCAGCCGAACAATTTACATATAAGCTTTCATTCTCCAAACAATCCTTTGGAATTCATATTTTCATATTATCCTCATGTGGAAAGTGGTAAATATGAGGCATAGAGAAATTAAGTGACCTGTCCAAAGGCATCGCCAGGGTGAGCTCACACTTTGTGCTGTTAACCTCTAGTTTATAACCCTGAGTGACACTCAGAGGTACCCTACTCAACCCTCCCTTAAAGAAATAACTTGCTGGCCAGTGGCAAGGAGTGCAGTTAGCTGACAGCCTCCACTGATAACTTCCTCAGGCTCTGCTTCAGCTTTCAACCAGAGACCATGCTGTTTCTGAGAAGGCCCAGCTAAGGACCGAGCATGGCAGGGTAGCAGAGTACAGACATGTCTGCCCACTGTGGACCCCTCTAATAAACAATCTTTCCTCTGGAGCTTCCCAGTGAGTTGTTGTAGACTTCGTCAAATCAGCATTGCAATCTGAGGCTCCCCCTGCCCGATTCTGCCTCCTTCCTCCTTCTATCACAGGAGTTTTTCTGAATAACTTTCTTTTATTCCAATGTCCATCTCAGCATCTGCTTTGCAGAGGACGCATCTGACATATCCTGCCTTCATATATTTGGATTGCCATCTCATACAAGAGTGTTTAGAATTGTTTTGTGTTGTGATTAGGGGTTGAATTTTGTCCTAATTCAACCCCTTATCACAACACAAGCATAAGCAAACTACTAGGGAAGCAGCTTTCACATATGCATAAGGAAGAAATTCCTAACAACCAGAGTGGCCAAACAATAGAATGGACTGTCTCAAGATGGATGAGTGCCCTATCACTATGTTCAGGGTGACTGGAGAACGGCGTTTGTGTGACCATTGTGTGGCATTCCCACTCCTCCACCTCCACCCCCATACATACTGGAGCACCTGGGATGCTAGACATTCACAATGCCAATTGATTAGCAAAAAACAAATTATTTAGGAAATCATGCCAAGAAGCCCAAACCTCTGATTTCTTAGCAGTTCAGTGGGTCTGGTTTGATACGCCATCCTTGTCTACTTCCAGCACAATTTAGTGGTACTCTAGGCCAGACTAGCCACTGTCGATCTACTTTTATTTTAATCAAAGAGCTCCCAGAAAATGAGATAAGCTGTGAGCTGATCGTCCCCATGGACTAGATGGTGGGATCAAAACCAAATTTCACATATGCTTATGTCGAACAGACTATAATATGGAGTTCACCCTCTATTATAGTTCTAATGACTCCCTCACCCACCACATGGTTCTCAAGCTCATGGACTTGCACATGACAGCCAGAGAGATTTTCTTCCTTAAGGCTGTTGTCTCGCTCCCTGCATGCAGACACAGGCACACAAAGGAGGGGACACCAACTGCCCCCTCTAAGAATCCCATGATGGTCAGATTATATAAGTAATCATATATTCCAGATAGTAAAATAAGAGATGGAAATGACTGGTAGGAAAATCAATAGCATAATCAGCATTAGGATCTGTATATAAAGAGACATTCATTTGGTGGGCAAATATTTACTGAGCACCTACCGAAGGCTGGAATCCCTTCCAGATGCTATGGATGTGATGTGCTCGATGGAGTCCCCAGTGTCGTGAAGTACGTATCGAATGCCACTGAGAAACCTGGCTCACCCTGCACTGAGAGAAGCAATCAAAGCCACCATCACCAATAAAGCTGCTAAAGACAGTGCCTCAGAGCTTCCAAACTGATAGATTTTCCTTTCTCCCCACCCTCAGATTTCTCCAGCATCTCTGGCACTTACAGTTCACGTTTTCAATAAATATTTTATTATAGTGCTCTGAAACAAATTTATAAAGTTTGCAAGAGAAGTTTTTAAAAAAGCAAGCTCAGCAATATTTGGGGGCTTTTAAAACTGATGATGCAGCTGACCTACCGGAGACAAAGGCAGTGGGAGGGCCCTTACTGGTATAAATAAATAGGAGTCTCTGGTACTGCAAACCCACAGCCTGGACTCAGAGCTCAAGTCTGAACTCTACCTCCAGACAGGATGAATTTCATCTTGGCATCTCTGCTTCTTATGCTGTTGGTCAGCAGCCTTTCCCCAGTTCAAGGTGAGAACTTTCACTTATGTTTTACTGTTTCTTGAACAGAAATAGTCTTTAACCACTTCTATTTTCTTTCAATTACAAATTGCAGGGAAGTCCAACTAAAGGGAGGGAAAGACTGCTCTGTTGCTTCTAGATTTTTCAAAGTAAGGTGTTTAGGAATGTAACTCTTCAAAACTGTAAATATTTATAAGATTTTTATTCGTAGGAAAAAGAGATACCAGAAGTCCAATATCCATGCAAATTATATTGGCTTATATGTTCCTGGCCTTTTTCAGATTCAGCTCCTGCTATACATAATTCTTTACACGTGGCTCTTCTTTGTTCTGCCTCTCAAAGTTACCCACTCTTACCAAACCCTATACAGGATTTAAAGATTATTAAACTCTACTGGTCTCTTGCAGTGAACATATTTTATCCAATTCCAAATGGTGAGACCTGATGTCAAGTGCACTATTGTCAGTACACCAGGGGTATTTACGCACATTTTGCAAAGAAGCAGACCTCCAAGGCTAAGTGGGTGGCTAACTTTGTGTAAATAGATAGACATCCAGTTGAAGTAGTAAGTTTTTATGTGGTTGAAGGAATGGATACATGTGCAAAAAGAAGGCTTCTGTTCAGGTTTAGAAGACCAGATTTTTGTTACTAAAACACAGAGGGGGTTTCTCCCCCAGTTTTAATTTTGCTTCACATGTTATTTTCACTCTTCAAGACTCTAACTTCTTGCATCCTCCATGAGGCTTTCCCAGGGCTCCTGGCAGAGGTGGCTCTTAGTACATCCTCTGTTCTCAGCACACAGGTCAGATGTTGCACGCAATACAACCTTCTGTAGCATTTTAGTTTTTGTTTGCTTGTTTCCCCTACTAAATTGTACACATCTTAAGAGTTGAGCCTTTTTATTTATAAATGCATGTCAAACACTGTAGTAGGCTGGATAGAAAATATCTGATAATTGTTTGCTTAGATTTCATTAGATCCTGTTAAAACTCATGAGCTGGGTACTAATGGTGCTCATCCAGTATTAATCACTTTTGTTAAATAAAAAGAGTTTTGAATATTTATGATTTTGTTTTGTTTGGTAATAATTGGTAACCCAGATGGGGGGGCCAACATATTAAACAAAAATGTCTGTGGCATTTTCTGAGACGGAAGGGGAGGATGGCAGAGAGTCTGATAGAGAAAACTCTGTTCCTGCATGTTATTGCTCCCAGGACTCTAGAGCCAGGTCGTGTCCTCGGTTTTTATGTGTTGGGAGGGAAGATGATCCATTGATTTTATATTGCATTCATTATAACTGAGTTGTACGCAAATCCCTACAGAGGCTGTTCTCAAAATTTTATTATGTGGACAATCACCTGAGTACAAAGACAATGCTATCACAATTTTCAAAAAGTGCTATTTTTTTTAAAACCTAATTTTTGTTTTGTTTTGCTTTGTTTGTTTTTTGAGATGGAGTCTCCCTTTCTTGCTCAAGCTGGTCTCAGACTCCTGGGATCTAGTAATCCTCCCACCTTGGCCTCCCAAAGTGCTGGGATTACAGGTGTAAACTACCATGCCTGGTCTAAAAGCTAATTTTATTTTTAATGTTTTGGTAGAAAACATTTGAAAATACTCAAGCCAGGACAAGCAGAAATATACAAACGAAAGGCATATGGGTGGAAGCACTGACTTGGAACTTTTAAATCTTCAAATGTACAGTATGAAAGTTTAATTATTAAAGTCTAGTTATAAATTACCTGCCAATGGATTAAAATAACTGATTCTGTGTTTACAGGTATTCTGGAGGTCCATAACAGAGACCTCAGCCGTTATCCCCCCAAACCTCATTGATCGAATTCAAATCTTGCCCCGTGGGCATGGTTGTCCAAGGAAAGAAATCATGTAAGTTTCAAAAATAAATAAATAAATAAATAAATACAATTTCTTTCTCCCAACGAAATTTGATCAAATGTTACCATACAGTAGTCTTACTCAAGAATGTCAAAGAGATTTACTTGAGTGTTGCTAAAAATTCTCAAACTAGTAATGAGAATTGTTAATAATTAAGAGCTTACTTTGTAGCAGCCCTGAGCTAAGTGCTTTACATGCACATACTCATTTTATTTATTCAACCACTTTATTAAGGTAAGTTTATTGTTCCTTACATGCTGAGTGTTGAGATTCACTCAGGGTGGTTGGCGAAATATTACAGAAAATATTGAAGATATATTAAGGAAAGTTATAGATTAGTCTCAAACCTTTTGGAAGGCCAAAAGGTTTTATTGGGCAGGCCAAAGGTGGCCAGCCAGTCCATTAAGTTAGGGAGAGATAGAGATAATCAAAGGCCTTAACCCCATACTCATGTCTCTCCACTCTGTTTACTCATGTTAATTTTGTGCTAGGAAGTTCCACTTTGATCTTTTTCCTCTCCCAGGAAGATCAATGGGGAATCACCTGTTAATAGCAATTACTCTGGGCCCCAAAACCTAAAGCCTTTGTCAGTCATAAAACCATTCTCTTCATTCTCTTAACCATGTTGATTACCTACAAGTGTGTTAACTTAGAACCTCTGTTATGAATAAAAGTATGGACAGACAGAGGGTCTGGGTCGATTGGTTGCATTTCGCCCTATGAAAGCAGCGTGGCCAGCCCTAGCCCACTTGAAACACTGTAATGGTGTGAGAGTACATTCATTCATCCGTCGTTGAGTCAGGGTTTGGAGGTAAGACTTCCGCAGCGGTGGGAACCCCATCTCAGCTGAGGCTTAGGAAGGTTAACTAACTGCCTGAGACATACCATCAGAAAGGATTAGAAACTCCATTAGCCAGGACCACATTCACATTTTCCCCATTCCAAAGCCTCTTGTTCGCAGTACCTTGAAGTATTAGGCACAGCATCTTTCACAGGACATCCTGACTTGGTGCTCATTAGTAGCTCTTCCCATGGACTTCTTTAGATTTTTGCAGTGTTTGTGAGCAGCTACTTTTCGTTTGTCACATTTTGTTACCAGTGCTTGGGGCCTTGGACCAGTTGAAACATGGGATATCAAAAGTGTATATGGAAATTTTTCACTAAAAAGGCATTGTATGTTTCACTAAAAAGGCATTTCACTCATGTCATTAACAATAAAAGTTCTAACTAAACTACAATTATTGCCCTCAAACTTAGAGATGTGAGGTCTAGCCATGACCTTTTCGGGAGCAGTTCCTTGGCTGTTTAGAAAACTGGGACCCCTTTCTTTTAATTCCATTTCCTCTGTCATGGCTCAAGTCTCTTGCCTCTCAATCAAGGAAGGTAATGCACCTTAATTTTCTCTGCTTTAACTTTGATTGTTTTGAAATGACTAAAATCTGATTTCACATCTTTTCATCAAATTCTGCATTTCTGAATTTTAGCCAGATAGAGAAATGAAAGTTTCAAATTATTATGAGAAATTCATGCCAGTCAGAGGTGAAAATACTGTGAGTCCAGAGGGTCAGAAATGCCTGGTGTGTTATTATTCCATCATGAACTCAGAAACCTAATTGGAAATGTCTGCCTGAAAACCCAACTGTTCTATGCCCTCTCATCTCTCTAAGATTCACTTGCAAAGGTGGAGTTTCAAAGTTAATTGGATGGATCCTTGCTGTTTGTCTTTGTTGTTTCGTTTGGGGTTTTGGGTTTTTTTTTGTTTGTTTGTTTGTTTGTTTGTTTGTTTGTTTTTTGAGACTCTCTGCTGCCTAGCCTGGAGTGTAGTGGCACAATCATGGCTCGCAGGAGCCTCAACCTCCTGGGTTCAAGCAAGTCTCCCTCCTCAGCCTCCTGAGTAGCTGGGACTACAGGTGCACACCACCATGCCCAGCTAGTTTTTTTATTTTTGTAGAGATGGGGTCTCATTAAGTTGCCCCGGCTAGTCTTGAACTCCTGGCCTCAAAAAATCCACCCACCTCACCCTCTCAAAGTGCTGGGATTACAGGCATAAGCTAACATGATGGTGGTTATTCATCATTTTATAGCTAAGGTAAATGATATATCAGGAAATTGTGCTTTGTTTGAGTTCACACCAATAGAGGGTAGAGTCTCCTAGTTTTCTGCTGTCTAAAAGACTTCACTTTTCCACTGCAGATAAAGCATTTAACACTAAGTCTGGCACTTGGTAACCACTCAGGTCCTGCTCATGAAAAACAGTGACTAAAAATGTGGGTTTTGAATCCTGTGGCATCATGTATTTGTTGTACAATCTTGAACAATTTATTTAAATTCTATAAGCCTTAAGTTCATCATCAGAAGGTAAGGAAATAATAGTTTCTCCAGCAAAGGATTTTTGTAAAATGAATTGAAATAATCCATGTTACCTGCTAAGCATAGTGCCTGGTGTGTTATAAGTACTTGATAAATATTAACTATTAACTATCATTGCCACTTTTGCTATTGCTTAATATCTTAGAGCAGGAAAAATCTTAGTGGTAATCTGACAAAATGCAGATGTCACTCTGAGCAATCTGCTCTGCAGCATGCCCCCTGTGTGAAATTGCACTGATTTTTTTTTTTTCCAGTGAAATTCAGGTTCTCAAGAGAGTGTTTTCCATAGCTTATTCTGTTCTCCCAAATGCAATGCAACAGATAAGCACGTTCTAAAGATATTGTGATATAACTTCAGAAGTGAGCCAATCTTGGAGTCAACCATTTGGTTGTTCTCCAACACACGTAAAGGTTATCAACAAAACACTAACCTCTGACATGTGAGGCTCTCTTAGCTTTGGATTCAACCCCACCAGCTCACACATACTGGTCCACAAATGGTTGTTTTCTTATTCCCCTGACCCCATGCTGCAAATCACCTATTCCAGATCCAAAACTGTGCAGCTCCAATGTCACTTCATCTAGGAATAAATATTTTCATACCCAACTCTTTTCTTTATTAAAAGTATAGGATTAACTAAAATATGACACTGCGTTATTTAATTTTTATTTTCCCCCAGAATCTGGAAGAAGAACAAGTCAGTTGTGTGCCTGAACCCTCAAGCTAAATGGATACAAAAAATAATGAAAGTATTGAAAAAGTAAGTCAGGCATAACAAGGGCTTTCAGATTCCAATTTGTACTGAAGAGTTTCCCTTTCCTGGGCAGTCAAAATAGGGAACCAGTGTGAACTTATGAGGAGCTCCTAACTTAACAGGGGGAGGGACATCACAAAGACACTCCCAGCCCCCTCCCAGTTGGAAAAGGTTCTTGGCTTTTACCTGTTAATAACCCCAAGAATTGGGAAATGGGCCAGAGGTGCAGTGAGTTTGCCATTCAAATAAATATCATGGACCCAAAGAGTTTTGAGGAAAGCAATTTATTAGGGAGAGGGAGAGAATGACAGCTCCCATGCTGCTGTGGGAGGGGATCCAGAGAAGGAATCCGTACAGGGAGGGAGCAGCAGGATTTTTAACCCTTGAGTTATTTCCTCCCCATTCATGTTCTCTTCCAATGAGAGGAGTTCTTTCAAACTTCCTCTGGAGTGATGGCAAACTTCCTTTGGAGTGATTCATCTTTGACTCTGATACCAGATTGGCTACTCGGTCCAAGCAGAGCCCCCTCCTCCCAGAGATTTTGGTGGGCTTTTTGGACAAAGGAGCCCATCTGGATTTCTCTACCTAGCCCAAGTGCAGGAAACCCAGACAAAGAACTTTTATATTTCCGATGGAGCCGGAGCTGAGAAACTCCTGCCTTTGAAACTATGCCCCTTGCAGACCCAGGAAGAGAAGTTTTTCTTTTTTCTTTAAAAACTTCTCTCACTAAAACAAATGGCTGTTTTCCATCATTATTGCTTATCAGATGGAGTAGGGGTAGCTCATTCCAGCAGCTCAGTAAACTAAACTAGAAGCCAGTATGCATGACAGTCCTTACCTGGTATCTCCAGACAAAGCCACAGTTTCCTTTGTTTCTCTAGACATGACAATTTTGTTTTTGTTTCTGCTTCACAGAAAAAAGAATTCCAACTCTACCACTTCCAGTGTTTAAGGAAAGATTCCCTGATGGTGATATTTCCACTAAGAAGATCTGCATTCTTCCCTTATCCCTGCTCTGGATTTTAGTTTTGTGCTTAGTTGAATCTTTTCCAGGAAAAAGAACTTCCCCATACAAATGACCATGAGACTATCTGCAAAAATAACCTTTAGAAACTGACGGGGCAGACTCGAGCTTCTTTACTCACAGCACCCTATGTACTTGGAGTTTGCATTCTTACCCATTAGGGAGGAAAGTTTATTTGAAAATAATCATTCAGTTGTAAATAATATAGGGTAATTTTGATAAAAATACTTGTTGTTTAATGTTAAAAATTTCTTAGAAAATAATGCAATGAGAATTTAAGCCTCAAATTTGAACACGTGGCTTGAATTAAGAAGAAAATTATGGCATATATTTCAATCATTTTACATGCTAAGAAAAGTAGGCTTCCATAAGAGACTCAAAAAGCTCCCTGGGAGACGGATGAGCTTCAGCCTGTCAAGAGGCAAAGGAGTCCACTTAGTAGATATCCTCTGCTTAAAAACTCACTATGGAAGAGAATTAGGTCCTTCTACTTTTAAAGAGTTCCTTTACAACATTTACTGTCTCAGATTAATAGCATTCGAAGATCCCCAGACTTCATAGAATACTCAGGAAAAGCATTTAAAGAGTGATGTACACATGTATTCTTTTACACATTTGCCTTGACAAACTTCCTTTACTCAAATCTTTTCACTGACTTTTTTTTTCTTTTTGGTGGGTGGGGCTCTGGTATCAAATTCTTTAATGATTGCTATAAACCTAATGATATTCAATAAAGTTGAGCAAGAGCAAATATTTTACTTAACTATGAGCAATGAGCAATTTATTCTTTTTTTTTTTTTTTTTTTTTGAGACAAAGTCTTACTATGTCACTCAAGCTAGAGAGCAGTGACACAATCGTGGCTCACTGCAGCCTCAACCTCCCAGGCTCAAGCAATTCTTCCACCTCAGCCTCTCCAGTAGTTGGGACTTCAGGCGCACACCACCACAACCAGCTAATTTTTGTATTTTTTGCAGAGACAGGGTTTCACCATGTTGCCCAGGCTGTGATCAATTCATTCTTGTCATAGCATCTACTCAATTTTAGACATTCTCTAGTTCTTCATAAAGATAGGTAGGATTTTATGAGGTTAATTTTTCTTTTATTTCACTTGTCTTTTACAGATGGTCTAAAATCATTTGGCAAAGAGTGAGTGAAGTTATTCCTGATATTAACACGGTGGGAAATACTTGGCTATGAGGGCCTCTTCCCCCCAGTGTTACCTACCACATACTAACCATGATTTCCTCCAGACTTCAGCCTCTTATCAAACCCATTTTCACTGTGTCATATTGATTCTTAAAGTCACCAATGTTTCATTTGACAGTTTTGCATTCAGTTGACCAACAGACAAAGAAGACACTTGAACTCTGGTCCCCATCTGCCACTGGCATCAGCCTGGCTGTCCCACCACACTACTGAGCTCCACTGCCTGTTTGCCCCTCCACTTACCAGCTGCTTTAGGGGGTCTGCTCCCAGTTCACCCACGTTTTAAGCTATCTCTGACTCCCTCTTTCACTTTTCTTTTTTATTTTTTTTGATTTATTTTTATTTTATTAAATAATTTATTGGGAGAAAATTAAAAGCACCTATAATTACTATATTTTCTGTTGTCTACAATTTAATGTCTTCTAAATTGCAAACACACACACACACACACACACACAGAGAGAGAGAGAGAGAGAGAGAGAGAGAGGGCTGATAATCCTGCCTTGTAGCATTTTCAGACTCCAATGTTTAGACATCAGGAATCATTTCATTCTTTAATTTGATTTTGGTCTCCTTGGAAAATGTAGTGAGACAAATATTTAGAAGACTCAAATAAGAAATATCGCTATTTCACATGAAGCATCTACTGTTATCACCCCCACTTGAGACACAGTGGTTAAGTCATTTGCTCATGAGATCCCGCCTCTACAAAAAACAAAAAACAAAAAAACAAAAAAACCTAACTGGGCATGGTGGTGTGCACCTGTAGTCTCAGCTACTCAGGAGGCTGAGGAGGGAGGCTTGCTTAAGCCCAGGAGGTTGAGGCTGCAGCTACTAAATGACAAGCCAGCATTAAAATCGAGGCAGTGTGGCACCAGAATCCATGTGTCTAACTACTGTACTATGCTGACCCTACAGGAGGTTGGTATCGTCAGTAGAAACTGAGGCATGTACTTGCCCCAAATCATATAACTAGCAAAAGGCAAATCAGAATTCAAACCCGGGGCCATCTGACTCCTAAGCAAATGCTCTTAATCACTTCATTAGACTGCCTAAAATTTTATCTTCCCTAAATGTATTGCTTACTTAAACCTCTTTGGCTACCCTCCTTTTCAGGGCCAATCAAAACCAGGGGAAGAGTGGGAGCTCCAGGACGTTTAGGCCTTTGCTGGGTTGAGACATTCATCCTGTATTGTCCAATCCCAGGGGAATCTGGGCAGCCGATGGGTGGCATGAAGGCAGTGGGCCAATGTGGAAAGTGAGAGAAAAGCAGGGCAAGTGAGGGTTTCAAAACTTGCTTTTCTTACCACACAAGCAGCCATTCCTCAAAAGTCAGAGTGGATTTGGGGATATTCAGCCTGATCTGGGACAGGGAGCTGAGCTCATAGATGCAGGAAACTTGTGGAGCCAATTCCTGGAAAGTCTGAGGAAAGGTGGGCTTTTGCAGGTCTGAGTGGGTTTGGGTCTGTAAAGAAAGACTTGTGAAACAGTAAGGCAGAATTCAGGTGATAAATTACACACACACACACACACACACACACACACACACACACACAAATTAATCAAAACTCAAAGTAAAATTGAGTTGAAGGGAAAATTCAAGGTAATGCTGACCTAAACAGGCTGTTCAACGCTGAGAAACTGAATGAAGGAGCTACACAGGCCAGGTAGCACAAGGATCTCCTAGAAACAGAATGCAGGGAACCTGTAACAAACCCATCAATAGTGCTGTTCAAACCTGTCCACCAAACCAGCAGAGGCCCAGGAGGAAAAGATTCTGCTTCTCCAACAGGAGGCCTCAGCTCTGGCCTTACTTTGAGGAGAGAAACAAACACCAAAATAACAATACAACAGTTAAAAAATATACGTTCTAAAAATATAGTATAGCAACTATTTACATAGAATTTATATTGTAGTTTAAAGATGGTTAAAACACAGCATACAGCAGAGTGTGCGTAGGTCATATGCAAATACTGTTCTTTTATATAAAGGACTTGAGCATTCTCAGATTTTGGAGTCCACTGGGGTTCTCAGGAAGGGGCTGGAACCAATCCCCTGAGGATACCAAGAGATGACCATAAGGGGGAAACCCCGAAAGAGCCGAGGCAAGGACCTGAAGCCTCAGCATATTCTCATATAAACTTAGAATTAGAAAATAATTAGAAATATAGTTACATAGTTATTCCTATATATAATCATAATCACATAGCTATTCATATGTAATCACAAATATATGCACATATATAATCATTGAATATTTAATCTTACTAATAAGTCTCAGGTTAAGAAGTATGGGACTGAAGTGGCATTGGAAAAGAGGTGACCCTAAGGCAAGATGCTCTAAGTCCTCTGCCATGCCCGCATAAGGCTGCTGGAGGACGCCTTGGCTGTGCGACAGTGCCAGCACTGTGAAAATGCCCGCTGTTTAGCCAGCTAGGGAAGGACATGTCCAAGACAGCCGAATCGTCTCCTTCCTCGGGAGTAAGGAGAAAACTCCGCTTTCCCAAGCTCTTGTGGTAAGCCTGACGGCTGTCAGGGACACCCACAGACATCCAGGGGCTTAATTGTCTCTGTGTGGTGCTGTGCTTCAGCGGTCACGCTCCATGTCTACTTTCAAGTTCAGTTCTGCTTCTGCACCTGGTTCCTCTTTTCCTTAGAAGATAAGAATTAGTAATGGTAAGATAAGTCTTAGTGACCTTGTTATTTCTTGACAAGTATGAAAAAGTGCCGACGCCTTAGGTTTTCTCCTCGCCTCGGTTTCTTCAAAGTCTTGGGCCCCCTATCTCCAAGACACGTGATTTACCTGACCCTATCACTGACGGCCATTACCTCATCCTACCTGCCTTTCCCCCTGGTTTTGTACTCAATAAAAGTCAGGGTGTCCAGGCACTAGGGACCACTGCTGGTCTCTGAGCTTTGGGTAGCAGTGGGCCCCTGGGCCCAAACTCTCTTTTCTCTATCTCAATGTATATTGTGTCTTTATTTCTAATTTCTTGTCTCCACACTAGCATGGAGGGACTCACTAGACCCTATAGGGCTGGACCTACAGATGACTATATTTGATCTTTGCCCTAGGTTCCTAGTACAGAATGCCTAAAACCCTTGGAATTCCGAGTGATGAGAGTGTCTTGTTATTCACAATGAGCCCTTTTTAACCATATCTGAGTTTGTGCCTCCGATAGGCAATGAGGCAACAATTGGCAGCCCTAGGATAGCTTTAGGATGGGGACTGGCAGGAGAAGAACCAACCATGTGATTAGAGGGTTAGAACTTTTGGCCAACTCTCCCCACCACCTCTAGGGAGAGGAAAGGGGCTAGAGATTGAGTTTATTACCAATGGGCAATGATTTAATCAATCACGCCTATGTAATGAAAACTGATACAAAAACCCCAAAACAATGAAGTTCAGAGAACTTCCAGGTTGGGGAACACATCGAGGTCCAGGGACGATGGTGCACTGGAGCAGACATGGAAGCTCTGTGCCCTCCCCTCACCCTGCCCTGTCATCTCTTCCATTTGGCTGCTCCTGAGTTGTATCTTTATAATACCCTAGAAATAGTGAGTACTTTCCTGAGTTCCAGCAAATTATCAAACCTGAGGGGGGTGACCTAAGAACCCTTAAGTTTGTGGTTGGCAGGGCAGAAACGAAGGTAGCCTGGGCACCCCATGGGTAGCTGGTATCTGAAGTGTGGGCAGTCCTGTGAGACTGAGTCTTTAACCTGTGGGGTCTCCACTAAGTACAGATAGTATTAGAGCTGAATTGAATTGATGGACACCCAGTTGGTGTAAGATAATCACAGAATTAGGGATGTGGCTGGTGTCAGTAAACACCTAAGAAAAAAAAAAAAGTAAAAGCCTCTCCCAAAACCTCCAGGTGATTTCAGTGTTCTAAAGTTTGAACACATTGTTCAGCCTGCACAGAAGATTAGAGTCACCAAGGGAACTCGGTTTTCTTATGTCAGGTTAATTAAGTTATAATTTACAGACAGTAAAATTGACCCTGTCTAAGTGTTCAGTTCAGTGAGTTAGCAGGAAGAGCCCCAGCCCCTGTTCCATTCCTATATTTT